CTTCATCCTCCCACCAATCAAAGTAACACGTGCGATCGATCACCTTAATTGCGGCAGATTCTGTTCTCTTTTCTCGACCACTGCTCAACGGGGTAACATTAATTGAAGGCCTTTACGCTACGAAACGTTGCCATCGAGAAAAATGTTAGACTCGACTTGCGATCGTTATCGAATCCCTTACGTGTTTTTTCTTCTCGCAGGAAATCGATCCCATCGATTGTCTCTCCAATATTATATCTTTTATCAGCCAAATGTTGATAATTAAACAGGAAGGACAACTGATAAAGAACTCGTTCAGGATGAATATTAACTTTCAATGTTCATTAAAAGCATGTTTTACTAATAACTATTAATAAGTACAAAATGGAACTATGGATATTCATATCGCCAGTCGAATATAACAACTGACATTTAGAGAAAGATGCATGTGTATTTTTTCCCTTATTACAGACATATTTTATTCTTCTTAACGTTCTCACTGTTGTGGAAACATTCACGATTGCACGAAGTCTCGTATTTCGTCCCGTTACAAATTCTTTTTTTTTATTAGAAATCTTACAGTTGTAGGAAATATCTTAATGCTAACGATGAACAGTTTGGGTTTAACCTCGACAAAGTGGAGAGCATTTACCGATGACTTATTGTGAACGAGATAATTTAATTACATAGAAAAATGTACAATTGATTCACGTAGTGTATCATTAGTTATCCTAAATTACACGATTCTTCGCACCTCGAAGAATCGTTTCAAATAAAAGATTTGCCCTATCGTTACGCATACCAATACCATAGCTTCGAAGAACGCCCACACCACGACACGGAAATTTGTACTCTCATTGATTGCCCTATGATTGCGATCGCGGACCTAAAAATCGCAAACAAAAAAATACTCGTAAACATTTAAATCAGATCGGCAATATAAACATCGATAAAGAAATGTGTAGGTTTTGCTTCTCCATTAATATATACCTGCATGTACTCTTGTTCGTTTTTCACACCCCACAAGCTGGTGCTCAAATCTTTGATCATATCATCTAACTTTCCATGATTGCTATCTCCATCCTGATTCTCCGCACCTGCATTATCCTCAGATTGTTTCCGATTTTCGTCAATGTCCATATTGAACATTACCACTTTCGGTGTCATTGTGCTCTTCTGATTACTGAAGCAGTAAGTATAAACGCCTGAAGTATGCGCAGCAAACGTATATTTCCCACTACTCTCCTGTTCACCTTGGTAAATTATTCTACCGTCGGGGCCGACTATCTTAACATCTATATCTAAGAATCCACCCTCTGCTATTTCAAATGTAAGACCTACAAACATACAAAATAAACGATATTAGACAACATGTGAATATGCAACTAATTGTAAGTAATCAAGAAGGCTTTATTGATTAAACAGGCAGGTTTATCAGAATTGTATAAAACCTGCCCTTTTTAGCTGAACTTCTTGTACCACTTATCTCTTTCTTCTTTTTTTCCCCTCAATATAGAAAAAAAGAAAAGTTTAACCGACAAAAAGAAACAATTCAGTTTCCAAAGTACAAACCTCTAATCGTTTAATTTTGCTTTGATATATTTTATAACAAAGTAAAATAAAATAAAATCAGAGAAGTAAAATATACTCAAATATAATCACATGCAAAATTTGTACAATTTATATAGATAAATTTTCATAAAAATTTTCGTAAAATACAAAGTTTTTATACAAGAACTAAATTTTCATAAAATACAAAGTTTTTATACAAGAACTTGTCTGTTAACAATATAAGTAAAAAAACAGTAGAGAAATCAGTAGTGGCAAATAATAAAAAAAAAGTAAGAAAATCAGTAAACTAATAATTATCATACAACAATCAATAAAACAATTGATAAGATTAATCTAAGTTATACTAATGAATAGTCGTCGACGAAGATACTCGCTTAAAACGTAACAAAAGGATCGAAACGCAGTAGAAAACTAACCCATCTTGGTGCCGAATTCGACTTTATCGAAGAAGCATTCCTCGGCATGGGCGTCAACCGTGATGAAGTAACAACGTACATTGACGATGGATAAGACGAGGAACAAGCACGAGCTAAGCCACCTCATTTTCTTCGCTTGAATTTTACTATATAATCATAAGAATGACATATGTTTTCTACTCCGCCTGCACGTACCGATCGCTCGCCACTCACAGCGACAGCGGCATGTTGCTACCACAGCGCCACGTATGCAATCTATGCATTGTATGTCGCCACGTATCATGCAGAAATTAAAGTTTCTTCAATAAAATGTCATACATATATGTATGTATAGGGCCGGTTCACCTAGAAGGGTCTCTAATTTCACCCACGCCTCGGTTTTTTGGGTTGCTTTCCCCAACGTTCGCAACGTGCATTCATTTCATACTTATTTAACATTTGATGACAATGGCTTAGTTTCCACCGAGGATTTAATCCGGATCAGAATGTAAGAACCAACCAATTACAGTCGAGCATTCTCCTGTCTCCTATTTGACTGTAACAGGGGAATACTCGACTGTAGTTGGTTGGTTTTACATTCTGATCCGGATTAAACCTTCGGTGGAAACTAGGTCAATCTGTAAGCGGCTCCGCACAATAAAAGGAACAGAAAACAGAGAATAAGAATTTCAATCTATTAATCATGTATTATGGAACTCATGATTATGGAATACACAGTTTCTGATAGGTTGAAATTCTTATCCTCTGTTCCTTTTATTGGCGGAGCTCCTAAAAATTGTAATCTTAAAGCCCGATGTCCACGATGTTAGAAATCGATCCGAGATCTCGGATAGAGAAAAAATTAACAAATCACGTTTGAACAATTTGATCACATGACCATCGCGATTGGTCAATTCTTTCTTCATTCGAGGTCTCGGACCGATTTCTTCAGCATCGTGGACACAGGCTTAAGAATTGACTAATCACAGTCGAGTAGTGCTCACAATAGAAGGAATAAAAAATTAGTAATAAAGAATAAACGGTTTCTGATAGGTTGAAATCTCAATATTTATTCCCTATTCCTAATATTTCCTCCATTGTGCGCAAGGCCTTATGACCAATATAAACGCTCCCTTAGGATGACACTATGCTCGCGAGCGTATGAATGGCTGCATTCAGCAGAAAAAAACAGTTTTGCAACTGTCATTAAATTCTTCAATACAATTGGTTCTCGCTTTTGATTTCTTATAGATTTATAAAGGTATAAACTAATCATATTAAAGAATTTTACTACAGTTATAAAGCTTTCTCTGCTAAACGCAATCATTCTTGATTAGTTAATATATTTGATTGGTTTATACAATATATTGAGTCATCTAAAAAGTATCCGCGGTACTTTGTCACTAGATATATGACCATCAACACACATCTAGTGACAAAAAACCACGGATACTTTTTAGATGATCCAATATTTAGATCCAATGAGGAATTAAGGACAAGATCAATCAAATTAAAGAACAGTTGCAAAACTGCTTTCTGTGGTGATCGCAACCACAGTATAGGTAAGAACAATAGATTCACTCTGTCATTCAATGAGAGCTTTGCTTTGTATCGTCACGTGAGGAAAAGCAGAATTTTTATTAGATAACGCTCGTCGTTCATCGCTCATTGCGTCCAGTAGATATTAAAGTGCGTTTACATGCAAGCGTCAAGCAGCGGAAGCAGCAACTAATTAACGAGGCGATTTTTACAATAGTGTAAAAAATATTTTTTACACCATGCCCGTATCGCTCAACTGATGATTGATTGCTAGTCTCGCTACTTGACGCTTGCATGTGAATGCACCTTTACACAAATGGTGCTAATAATACGCTCATCGAATGCACTTTGAATTAAGGATTGTAAAACGAACTACAATTGTCTACAAATAAATATTGGACGCCAAATTTTAGTAAGACATAATTAATATATTTTTATTAAAGATAGTTTCAATTATAAGCATTCAATTATAAGCATATAAAAACTAGCGATTGACTCGTTATGCCCTCGATTTTATATACAATATATCGGAAAAGCTGTATACTAATAACAAATTTATTACAACAAGATTTGTTTATATAATTTCTAGAGGCTAGCGATTAATTTTAAATATCATTTAAACTTAAATGATTAAGGCCCAGTTGCACCAATATCACTTTGATTTTAAGTGAGACTTAACTCTGTCTCGTTTTAAAGCTAAAAAGAGACAGAAACAGAGAGTTTTCTGCCTGATGTTATCGGGCCTAAAATATTCTGGAACTTCCTTAAAATAATTCTGTCTGTTCAAGATATCGATATCGTTATGAATCTTTTGAAAAGAGGAGCATATCAAGTTAATTATTATTTGTTAATTTTAATATTATTTTTAATTATTATTTTAGAATCGCTAAATAGGAAAATGACTCTGAGATCAAAATAAATGACGCTAAAAATTTAAAAATAACGGATCTTTAATATGACAAACGTAAAAAAGAGATTTTATAAGTACGGTCAACGCGAAGCTGCAAACGCATTTGAAGCATTTTTTAATTGATCAGTTTGTAAAATTCTTTCTTCTAATTGGTCCATCAAATGCTTCAAAGTATTTGTAGCGAGACTTTGACCACAGCCTCTATCTTTAAATTATGATGAAAGTATTGCAAAGTAATTGTCTCGAAGTACCAATTTGGATGAAATTGCAAATCCACAAATTGATGCTTTGATTAACGCTTAATGTATATTCGCCTTGACTCATTTTGGTCCATGAAATTCATGTCTAAATCACTGAAATGTATGCTGTAAATTAGGGGAGGATGAAGAGAGTTATATTGTAAACATCGAGGCGTGAGCGCTAAATCAGTTTTGGATGGTTTTCGATAACAAGAATTTATAAATAGCAATTATGCGCGCTATCAGAGGCCTCTGTGATTGTTAGATAAAGAACAGAAGATACATGAAGTATTTGTAATCTGATTAATAATGATAGGCCGAAATTTATCAGTGTTCCTTCCGTGGAGGAAACCCACCTTGCATTGCTCGATTAAAAGTCTGCATTCCTCTTGTCGCCAATGTTTACGCAGCAATCTCTTATTGTGAGTATTTGCGCAGTGGATTAATTTGTGGCACCTGTTTCTAACCTAAATATTTTCTTCAAGAACTGTACCAGTAAAACTCGCTTATACTTCGTACGAGTCAGTGAAAGAACTTAAGCAAGATGTGAAAGAACCTATTATTATAATGCACGGTCTCTTTGGCTCGAAAAACAATTGGAATTCGTTGTCGAAGACGATCCATCAAAAGACTAAGCGCAAGGTTATTATTAGTGCTTTCTGACAATCTACGAGATTAAACTTGAATTACAATAAATTTTTTAATATCTCTTAACATAGATTATGCATTTTATTTCTTAGATCGTTAGTATGAAAATAATTTTGTGTTGCGCTTAAGAAAATAAATGCGTAGGTCATAGCAGTGGATGCTAGAAATCATGGTGATTCTCCACATTCATCAAATATGTCGTACAAGGACATGGCAGGGGATATGATTCAACTTTTGAAAGACCTAGACTTTGAGAGAGCCATCCTAGTTGGTCACAGTATGTGCGGATCAGCTGTTATGTATACCGCATTGAATTTTCCACAACACGTTAAGAAATTGGTGATTGTTGATATGTCTCCTGTAAGAACTAGCCCTAATCTTATGCAGATGGAAAGGATCTTCGAAGCTATGCGTTTGGTAATGGTGGATGGAAGTCTCACCCTGTCAAAGGCACGCAAAACAGTGGATCAACAACTATCCAAATCTATTAAATCTAATTCGATGCGTCAGGTAACATTTCTTCTGGTCTTATTTTATTTTCAGCATAATATCTGTTTCTACCAATGTAAATTAGCTTTAATCTTGATTCAACTTATGCTCTTCTCTTTTTTCAATCTTCTTTTAATTCTCATTAAAAAAATAGAGAGTTGAACTAAGATTAAAATTAAACCACTAGTAAACATGAGCATAAGAGTCACATTTGTATTATGTTTGTATAGTTTATACTAACGAATTTGGTGGAAGCAGACGCGGGAAAATACAAATGGCGAGTTAATTTACCGGTGCTGGAGCAGGCATTCTCGACTCAGATAGCTGTATTTCCTAATATAGGCTCAAAAATCTACGATGGCCCTACGTTATTCATAGGTGGTGCTAATAGTGATTATATTCAAGCGAAAGATCACGATGCAATCAAGAAACTATTTACCAAGGCAGAATTTCATTATATCGATGGAGCAAGTCATTGGGTTCACGCAGATAAGCCTAGCGAATTCATTGAGCTTTTAGCAACTTTTATAAATAACTCGGCCTTGTGATAATTGTGAATATGTAGAAAAAAAGTCAAACATATATCCTTTGTAAATATATACGTGTATTTTGGATGAACTCCACAATATTACAGAACAATGTGAAAAGTATTTAAACAATAATAGTCGTGTAAGAGTGGAAAAAAATTGTAAGTTATGTGATTATGACAGAAAAGCGCCGTTGAGCGTCGAAAAAACGAAATTCCTAATTCAATTTGCCCTCCATCGCACATGTCGTGGAAACTGTGAATAGGCTTTAGAGATTAGAAAGCTCGTGGAACTAGATGTAATTCCACTCAAGAGGCCACGTGTGTCAATGTGCTACATGTGCTTAAGTAACGATACTCGCCGCTAGCGAATGCATCGCGCAAGGACAGATGCTATTAAAACAGTCTATAAAATTAAGTATCACTTTGATTCGTTAATAATTCATAAATAAATTACTGTTTTTTTATACTAAAGAAAAATAGGAACTATTCAATTTGTCAATAAATCAAATGTAGCTTTAGATTAAAGCATTTCCGTTGCAACAGTAATCGCGTGTTCAAGGATCATTTGCTGATCTGCAAATTTTTAAGCTCGTTTTGTGCCGAAACACGAAATGTCAAACGCTAGCAAAATGTGCAAACCGATCATCATCATCATTATCATCATCATCGCTGTAACATGTAACTGTGATATATTTTTGTAATCCTATATATATCACTTGCAATAATACTAATCAACAAACTGCACATTACAATACATCGTGCGTTGTATGCCCACCGTTGTAAGCGTAGTCGGCCTTATTGTGCATCACAAGTTGATTGTCGACGAAATAAAAAGAATCGGATCGCGTCTCGAATGGATTCGCGATCATTTCGGAAACTGAAAAGACATGCACGTTGTTTAGAATTTTAATTTTTCGCCGTACAATTTCAGGTATATGCCGAGTTTATTAAAATTCCTTTTAGCTACTCACCTAGATCCGCAGGCAACGTTGGAAACTCATAGATGTGTTCGCATGTGTTTTTGCTGTTTGGTATGCAAAATCCAAACTGAAAATCGAAGGTTTTCAGCAACCTGTCTCGGAAAAAGTGCCGTTCTATCATCCGAAAGTTATTGATCGGCTTAGGTCCTACTAGAAATTCGATTGTCGCTCCGACCGTCTTTAACTTCAGAAATTGTGGCGTAAATTGATATCGCACAAAGCGTCCCGTATTTGTATCTTCAGATCCGAGTTCTTCGCAATCTGGTTCCGGTTCTTGATGAACATCGCATTCTGGTAAATATACAAAAAATTAAAAATACTATAAATGAGTGCAATTGATATTTAAAGCTCGATTTATATTTAAATCTACAACTAATTCTTTGTTTTTCCATAATCATATTAAACTTTTATTACACAATTTTGCATTGTACAACGTTTAAATAATGTGATATCACAATATGTTTAATACATTACTTTTGTTTATCATAATGCAAGAGCATTATTATACATTTATTCAAAGAAGATTTAGATTCTTTAGATTCTTCACTATTTATTACATAGGAATCTTAAAATGTTCAAATTATAAAAGTTATAAAAAATATATAGCATTTAAAATATGTTACGCACCACTAGCGGGAGGTTTTGTTATTTCAAACAGTACAGCACCAGTTTCTAGATCCCTAATTTGGAATCTCGTAAAGTCTATGTCATAGATATTGGCCTCAGGAGAACAGAGATATTCTGTAAACATATTGTTATCTATGCATAAAAGTGATTTGACAAGCAATACCTAAATATTAATCCTTAGTACAATTGGGTCACATTCCTAAGTACTTTTAAAAAATTAGAAGCGTCAAGTAATAAGTTTATATACAACTCTTATAAATACTTTCTAAAGAATATATATAAAAATCATTTAATAATTTTTGTATATTTTTTAAAGTGATGAAAATTATAAACCCAGAACACGAAGACCAATTGTGTGTAGCAAAACACTGGAAAATCATTGTTATGTTAAGGATTAAAAGAGTAAACACAGGCTGCTCTTCTTTTATATAAAATAAAAAAAAAACAGTCGACACAAACGTCATTCTATCCTTCTCAACAATCTCATTTCAATTCATTTGTGTTGACTGTCTCCTAAATGGAAAGCAGCTATACTGAGACAGTGATAAATTGTAGTAATTTGAGCCACTGAAGTGGATCATAAATCCATTAGAGAACAAGAAGAGACAGCAGTATTTAAATTCCAAGTGGGAACATACTGTCCGTGATAGTGGGCAATCGGAGCACCATTTCCGGAGTCACCGGTCCACCCTCGACACCACCGTCGGTGCCGTTTTCTGCGTTGTACGGCGCAATCGTTCGCGACTCGCTCGACTTGTTCTCGCTGTCCACGCTCATAATTTATTCACGAGACTAAACGTATTTGTATATGGAGACGCTAACGTTTGGCATTCGGTCGAACGAGAGGGATTGGCCGGAGTGAAGTTCACGACGGCAGTGTCGATCGACATCAATCTCGTCTCAATACTTTATCGCACGTTCACCGTTTCGTCGTCGACTTGTTCGTCGCGTTGCCACGGCCACGCGTCATCCTAGAGTCCTTAGAAGTCATTACTGATTACGTTTACGACTGATTATGGTCTTCTCAGACAGGAATAAATTGTGAACACATGATCAGCGTGATCGCCGTGATGCGATCAGCAAACAACACCGCCATATTGTTGGTCTGATTTTTTGTACATGCGCACTGGAATTTCATATTATTATAATTATTGGCTACTAATTTTTAGCTACTGTCAATTGTATAATCAACTGGAAGACATGTTTACGGCATGATTTAAGGCATGGTTCTATATTAGTCGCAAGCTTATTGCGATAGTCATAATTAATTTTTTTTTAATGTTGCATCATTAATTGTTGCTGTATGATTATTTTATCGTACACCCACGTGGCGTATGTATACCACGATGAGATACTTCATTGGTTCGTTTTCGTTAAATGATCATAAATGATATGATGAGATTAAATGGGGCCTCCATATGGCGTTGTCCACAGTTCTGTAATGGTCTCTCTCTAATCTATCTTTGTCTTGTATGTAATTGTCTAATCGTGATGATCTCACATGTACGAATTAAATTGTCAATGAAGAAATTTATTTGTTTTATTTATGAATTGTTGGATTTCATAGTTGTACGAAATAACATAGATAGATATAGCGTGAATACAATACAACGTGTTGAATTCGGCACGAAAAATTTGCGAAATTATGAGGGAGTACCCACAATAGGGCATCCAATCAGACCCTAACATGATATCCCTATTTATAATGAGATTCTTGAAGAACTCGAGATCTTCGATATGTGCATTCCCAGCAAACGAGAATGGATTGAAATGAGTTGAAATGAATTCAGATTTTCAGAAATATTGATTCACGAATGTTAAAATGAATGCTTTTCAATTCTGAATGCATTTTTATTTATTTATAAGAATTGCATGGAGCATATCTCTATGCCTTCCAATCTAAAAATAATATTAGCTTTTTCTGTGCACACAAACACAATTGTATATATTGTGAATACTGTTCAATTCAAAATTTTGAATAGGAAACGCAGTTTTCAATCCAATTGCATCCAATTGAATCCAATTAAATCTAAAAAAGTATTCGCTATTTAAAATACGCATTCAGATAGAAAAAAATTTTAATCCATTTTAATGATTCATTCTCGTTTGCTGGGTTGATAATATGCAGATTTTTCCAATTGTAAAGGCAGACGATGTAGTTTTCCGTCTTATCAATTCTTTCGCTACAATTTCTGTCGTCGTTTATGAAATCGCGGATGCTAGTAGAAAGTCGGATTCGTTAATTGATGCCGGTCATTTTTGCTGTTGAATTACATTATATTTGTACATGTGTTATGATGTTACCACTCAGATTGGAGGAGGTATGAGATGCTGTGTATTTAAAAATTGACATGAAATCTCGTCTGATAGCGCTCAGTTTTGTTACCTAGACTACATTTCATTTAATGCTCATTTGATTAATATATGAATAATATATTAGCTTCTAAAATCAGGAATACATGCAAAGCTTATTTATTTATGTTAGAACAGAATGTATTCATTGTATAAAATTGCTAATTAATGTTTATTTTCTAAATACAAATAAGACTTTTTTTTATAAAAAATTTCCTTGTACGAGTACTTCTTGCTTTCACTGTATATGTATACAAATTTTATACATATATTTTATGCACATTATTATATATTATATATTATTCATATTTATATTTATATTATTTATATTTATATTTATATTATTTATATTTATTATTCAAATTTTATACATATACATATTTTCAAATTTATTCTCATATTTTATACATATTTTATACATATTTTCAGGTCCTTATCTATTTATAGTTTTAAAACGACGACGTATCGTTGGGAACGATCATTTGTCAATGTGTCTCTCTGTAATCGTATGCCGTGATTACATATACATATAGAAGCGTGTGAAAATTCCACAGATATTTCTGAGTTACGTTGGACATGTGTCGTACGAATTTGAAATAGATTGTTTTTCATTTATATGCTGTATATAGTATTTACAATATTACGGAAAGCAAGACCGCAATAAAATGATAATTGTTATCAAAATCACGACTCAGATAAAACTGTTATCTGAATGTTGAGAAAAAAGTTTATATATATATACATACACAGTGAGTGCAAAGTGTTCGTACAGAAAAAATATTTTTTAAAAAAAACTTTATTTTTAAAAAGTAAATATTATCCAGCGAGAAATGAATCATCGAAATGATGTTGAATCAATATCGATACGATAATTTCAGCAATTTGACATAGATTTGACGTTTAATTGACGCTCATTTCTTGTTGGATAATTAACAATTTATTCATAAAGAATAAAATAGACTGTATGTTTCTTAAAATTATATTAAAAAGATGTGTATTAATTATAGGAAATATATCATCTGAAAAATAAGCGAAAATAAAAAATTATATTGTTTGGATGCTCAAAAAATATTCGTACAGTTGAGAAATTTAGTTTGTAAAATCAAAAATATATGCGAAGCTCATTTGTTAATGTAAAAACAGAATGTATTCATTGTATAAAATTGCTAATTAATGTTTATTTTCTACAAATAAAACTTTTTATAAAAAATTTGAGATATATACCAGTTCTTGGGCAGTTTGAAATTTGGAATGTCACCGAATATTAACGAATGCAAGCAATAAAAACAAAAGAAAAAAATATTCAGAAATTCTCGTTTAGGCAGTCATTTATGCAAGCATGTAGTTCTTGAATCGAGGTCGTTCGCTTTCTTACCGGGATTCGCCGCAGCGCCGGTATAGGAGAAGAAAGAGAGAAACATTGATTTACATGTGTTTACATCTATTTGTTTACAAGTGGCATTGCAACGGTTCCGCCGTTACAAGGTTGATAAGACATAAAGGAATGTTTATCACTTATCGATAGCGCTGTACAATTTTACGTGCTGCTTTGTGAATGGTCTCTTTTGTTTTGTTGACAGTTGTGAAATGGTTAGAACGAAACGAAACTAACAAGGAACTTGTCTGTTGATATTGACAGGTTATCTGTCCCCTATTGTTGAATGTTACATCGCAGAAGAATTAATTCTTCTAAACGACGGCATCCACGATACGAGCTACATCGACCACGCAAACGACGGCTCGTTGTAAAACGTTATAAGATATGGTAGAAAGGAAAAAGAAGATCGTATGCGCGGAGAAGGCTGGTTTGGCGGGAGGGGTCGATAAGAGAAATCGAACCGGGCGTGCTACGTGGAATCGTGAAAGTGAAGGTATGTTGCCGCTACTTGTGGTCGCGAGAGAGGCCGATCGAACCCGATGAATACCTGTTGCCTCTTTCTCGTTTTTTCCCTTGCGCTCGCGTTCGCGTCTTGACTGGCTTGAGTAGTCTTGACGTGACGTGGGCAGTTGTATCGAGATCGAGGGATTTACACAGAACACACGACGATAAACGCAACACGCGATAAGGGGATACACTTTCCACAAGCGTTCACAAGTGTCAAACGCGATTATTGACACGATATAGAGTATGGAGCGTCTAAAAAAGAAGCTGAGCGAGTATGATCAGGAACATCTGCTCAGATTTTGGGAGGAGTTGGTGGATGAGGATAGGAACCAGCTGGAGAATGATATAAATGAGCTTAATTTACAGGAAGTTACGGCATACTTTAAGAAGGCTGTAGAATCCTCCCAGACCATTGCCCAGAATACATTGGATGACAAGATACAGCCGATCGATCAGACCAAGATAGCTTCTGTTAAGACTTCCACTGAGGAAGAGTTGAATACATATAAGGAACGTGGTTTGAAAGAAATAGCCCAAGGTTGTGTGGCTGTATTATTGTTGGCAGGTGGTCAAGGCACACGACTAGGAGTTACCTATCCTAAGGGGATGTATGATGTTGCATTGCCATCACACAAAACTCTTTTTCAATTGCAGGCAGAAAGAATACTCTGCTTGCAAAGTATGGCACAACAACAATATGGGAAACATGGAGAGATAATTTGGTATGAGAATCAACAAGTATCATTGGTTGTATTTAGTAGAAAAAGCAGCTTTGCAATTGTTATAAAATTCTTTAATATGATTGATTTTGCCCTTAATTTTTCACTGAATCTAAATGTATAAATCAATCATATTAAAGAATCTTACAATAGTTGCAAAGCTGCTTTTTCTGCTGAATGTAATTATTGTTGTTATAATGTAACATATGTGATAAGGAAAAGAAAATGAAATTGATTTAATTTTATTTTTCAGGTATATTCTTACTAGCGAAGCTACTCATGACGCCACTGTCGAATATCTAAACAAACACAACTATTTTGGTTTAAAAGAGAAAAATGTCAAAACCTTCAAACAGGGTATGCTGCCGTGTTTCACCTTCGATGGAAAAATTATTTTGGACGCTAAGCATCGTGTTTCCAAAGCTCCTGATGGTAATGGAGGATTGTATCGCGCTTTGAAAGCTCAAGGAATATTGGATGATATGGAACAACGCGGTATCCAGAGTGTTCATGCACATTCTGTGGACAACATTTTGGTGAAAGTAGCAGATCCTATATTCATAGGATACTGTTTGCTATCTGAAACCGACTGCGGAGTTAAAGTTATCGAAAAGTCTTCTCCTTCTGAAGCCGTTGGTATAGTTTGCAAGGTATATTCTTCTATAATATGATAATTAAATTTATATACAAAGTTTATACTAATTTTATTTCGGTTAATATAGGTGGAGGATCACTATCAAATAGTTGAATACAGCGAAATAACAAAGGAAACTGCAGAGCTTCGACATGTCAATGGACAATTGATATACAATGCTGCTAATATATGCAATCACTACTTTACGGTCGACTTTTTGAAGGACGTTGCACACCTTTATGAGAAAGATTTACTTTTGCACGTAGCAAAAAAGAAAATTTCATACGTTAATGACGACGGAGAAAGAATCATTTCAAAAATTCCTAACGGTATCAAAATAGAAAAGTTTGTGTTTGACGTATTTCCTTTTGCAAAGAATTTCGCAGTGTGGCAGGGAACGCGCGAGGAAGAATTTAGTCCGCTGAAAAATTCAAATTCCGTTGGTCAAGATTGTCCAAGCACCGCTCGTATTGATTTACTCAATTTACACAAAAAGTGGCTGTTGAAAGCAGGTGCAAAAC